GATCTTCTTCAAAGTCAAATAAAACTTAAGTACATATACCCCTTTTAAATTATATCAGGATGTCGAACAGATCTGTGTATATGATCTAGAAATATTAATTTTCAAAGTTACCTAACATTTTGGCGGCCATCTTGTTTAAATTCCTCAACTTCAAGTGCTGGCATAAATTTAAAAAAATCAACTGATCTTCTTCAAAGTCAAGTAAAACATAACTACATATACCCCCTTAAATTATTTTGGGATATTGAAGAGATCTATTCATTTGATCCAGAAATATAGATTTTCAAACTGACCTAACATTTGCTTAAATTGGGCAGCCATCTTGTTTACAAGTGCTGGCATAAATTCAAATACATGAACTTATCTTGTTGAAAGTAACATGAAACTTGACTACTTATATCACCCCCACATATTCTGGAATATCAAAGTGATCAGGACTTTTTGATCCAGATATATAGACTGTCAAAGTTGCTTAATATTTTGTCAGCCATATTGTTTACAGTGTGTGAACATCATGTGCCGGCATAAAATTCAAACATATAGAATGATCTTCTTCAAAGTCAAATGAAACATAACTACATATCTCCTGTTACACCATTGCAGGATATAGAAAAGATCCTTTCATTTGATCCAGAAATATAGACTCTCAAACTTCCCAACATTTTGTCAGCCATATTGTTTACAGTATGGGAATTTCAAGTACTGGCATACATTTCAATACCACAACAGATTTCTTTAAAAGTGAAATGAAACAAAAGTACATATGTAAGTCCAACATATTGCAGGATATTGATAATGTACATGTTTTGGATAAAGAATCATAGACTTTCAAACATGTTCAAAATTTTGTCATCCATATTGTTCACACTCAAAACTGCTTTGGGTATCAACTATAAGCCTAGGGAGAAGTTCTCAAAGAAAGAAAGCATCTTCTCCTAAATAAAGTAGAATAGTAGTACATATACACTTCTAACATATGTTGTAATTTCAAAGAGATACATACCTATTACTCAGAATCATTTGCATACAAGAATGATACACCTAGTGTAATACATTGGCCAGGTCCCCCTCCCCCACCTGCAGTAAATGTGTGTATTCATGAATGTTTGGATGTTATTTTAAACACTTATGACCATCTATGGGCTTCACTGCCAGTAATATTATTGTGGAATAGGAACCCATGATGGAGTATCAACTTAGAAAAATCCATACAAGGTCATTCATGGTGTATGAATAGAAATGTAATGCATGTACCAGAGGATTATCTATGCAATGTTATGTGATGCAGTCTGCATGTTGACAGTATTCCAGTTACTGATTGTCTGCAGAAAGAAAAGCAAATGGTACTTTCATTTCATTATTATTCTC